CCATAGGTTGTTTCGAGGGATCCAGCTTGGTCTTTCTCTAAGCTCACAAAGCAAATGCAACAGAGATGTGCAAACTGTCATGATTTTCAACAATTGGACTTAAAACAAATATCTGGTTGCAGGAGCTTCGTTCAAACCTGAAACCATACTGCTCTTTTTGGATTTTAGAGTCAACTATTAACGGGAGGCTCAGTAATTAAAGCAGTTCTAAGTGGGTTTCCTCTTGAACAGGGACACTACCCCTAAGTTCTCTAGTTCGTCGGCGTCTTCCTAAAGCGTAGTCATATATACGTTTCTGCTGTATTTGCCGGTTCTAAGGCCCGAAAGAAAACATCAGAGATCGCAAGGTTATTCAAGGAAATCCTTCACCAATCACCACTTGTTGCTGATCCGAGACCTCTAACCGAAACACTACACCAATACGGTCTGTACGACGACAGCCTCAATAATATATTTGTAGCAGCTCGAAGGTGTGCAGAAACAAGCGTTCAAGTTGTGAGAAGAATGACGAAGGAGGACTTGAGCAAAAATGAGTTTGAGTGTGAATGGTCAGCATGTTCATTGAAAATGCCAGAGGCTTAATGGGGAAAGTAAAGAGCACGGCATATACCTAGAAAAAACACAATTTTGGATGTTCACAATGATGTTCAGGTTACTGTATGGAAAAGAAGGCTCTGTTCGAGATATGGCAGCTGCCAAATAGTCGGAAAACGGATAGAATATGCCATACGAAGTGGGAAACAAAGAAAGTCGTCGCCGAAACAAAGTTGAAAGTGCGCAATGGCTTATTTGAAAAACTGGTAACTACAGAAACAGAAAATTGCAATAGACGAAGAGAGAAGAACTGCAGATGTCGGTAAAACGAAGTGCCTTAAGGGCAAACTTCAAAAATGGTGTTGACCAGAAGGTATTCGCCACCCATGACTAGCACATTTCGAAACCTTACTGAACGAACAACATTCCTAGGAGGTCAGGAGCAGATCTCACGAAGCCGGGGATTACTCGAAAATAATTCACCAGATGAAGCTTAGTCATCCGTACCTTTGCCGAATGAATAATAATTAAGCCCTTTGCCCGGACAATGTTCCCATAGAAGTATGGAGGGCATTGGGACAAAAAGGCATGATTTGACTGAGAAAATTGTTGTGCCGCTGATAAACTGATATCCTCGACTCATTCAAAAGAAATCATCTAAATATTAAAGCAAATCAGCTCAATCACGCCACGAAGGATCTACCTTACCAGTGATATGTGTGTAACTGACAAATTCGGTTACTATGCTTGATTGTTCCGAAATATAGAATAATACTCAGCTTGTTAACTTTCGCTTATCTTTCTCTCGGGGTCAAAACACATTTCGATGGGTCATTTTTCCGCATCTGATCAAGGCCATATGCCGGTTTGTATGCCTTATCCTCGTATTTAGAAAAAGATCATCTTTGGGCTAAAAAGAAATCTGAGGGCACTTCAGGAGGGTTTCTAGTTGGCGGATGAAGCAGAAACTATCTTTTATGCACAAAACGGAGGCAGTTTCTTCTAGTGTCCTTTCTTTCTATGGTTTCTGTAATACAGAAGTCGAAGAAGCGCGTAACCAAGGCGGGGG